ACACTTGTCAGTGATGTGCAACCTTTCTGGACAGAGTAGGTTACCTTATTTTGGTATTTGGAAAGAGATGCTTTTCATGGTCTCTCTCATGTCACACCTCATTTACTATGGAGTGAGCATAATACTTCTGGGTCATGTCAGAGTTATTCAGTGTGGAAAGGTTGAGGCCACTTTACCAGAAGATTGCGGTGTTTCTGCTTGTATGTGGATTTACTTTCCATGGAAGCTCCTATACTTGTGCAATTACAGCCAAGCACAGGGCTGGAGACCTAGAGCAAGAGCAGGGTGGTATTAGGATACAGCCTGCTCATGCCTGTGGAAGAGTTCTTGGGCCATGAGCTGGTTCCTGTTACCTTCTCAGCTGTCCTCAGAAACAAGATCCCCAGGAGCTGGCAGGCTGCAATGAGCTCCCTTGACCATGTGTTGAGCACCCCTCCCCCAGGTCTGGCTCTGCCTCAGGAAAGACTTGTGATATCTATTGTTTGTTACCACCTGAACTTTATGACTGAAAGAACTGTATAAGTCTTATCTCTCATTTGATCATTAAAGACTTGTATGATACATTTAAATCCTTGAAATGTAATATAGTTTTCTGGTGAATGAGAATATTATAAACCATAAAGTATTCTGGATGATATCCAGTGCTAAGCTCTGACTACCCTGATATGCTTTTCAGAGAACAGACATAGATTTAGTTTTACATTGGTCAGTAAAGCTGAGTTTATGGTTCTTTTTGTGTTGCCAGGGCAGTGTATACTAAGTAGAGCTTATCAGAAGTTGTCAGATTTTGGGTTTTATCAAAGAAAAGTGTTATACCTCTAGTCTCTGTTAACTTTAAGTGGAAGATTGATGCCTTATGTTCTTCTAAAAACACAAACAGAAAAATCAAGTTACAAAGGAGTTTGGGTCCGATATGGCAACTTTCCCTTACAACACTGTAAAAGGTCTTAAGCTGTTATGCGACTGTTAAGATTGGCAAAGGGGTGTTATTGTGAATATATGTTCTTGGATAATACTTCTGAAGTTGTGTCAAGGTTGTGATGCTATACCTATACTCATCTGAAAGAAAAATACAGAATGACAGCAAGAGTTAAAAAACATATTACCACTTTTCTGATCAAAGACCAGGGGAGTTAAGACTAAACTGCAGAACTCCCTGTGTGATAGTACACCCACCCACTCCAATGTCTCCTAAAAAGGAAGACATGTGTAGAAGGACCAAAAAATAGAGCCCAAAATGTGAGAATTTTTTTAGAATAACAATTTGTCACACTAATTTGAGAGAGATGGAATTAAGCACAGGATAAAAATAAAAGAACTGTATTTAAAGTGCTTCTCTGCTTATGGCTGGACTTACTACTGTATCTTTCTTCTAAGATCAGCCATGGAAACAAAAAAAGCAATTCTGTCAGATACCTAAAATTTTTTTCTGAACCAGAAAGGAACACCTGAGTATTTATGGAAAAAACAAACTGTCTCCTTCAGAATAGTGACCCGTAAACTGTGTATGACAGGAAAAAAATAAAGGTTACAGACAATTTTTGCACACATATGAAGGCACATCTAGTGAACAACATAGTTTGCAAAGGATCAGAATTGCCTCTTTTCCTAAAGGCACTGGGAAGGTCAGAAAGCAGGAGAATTCACAAAAGTCATTCACTAATTTATGCTATAAGCTATTGACACAATCCAGTGACAACATTGTCTGATGAAATCTTATCTGTGAGGGCAACTTTTTTTTTTTTTTTTTTTTTACTGCTAGTAACTGCAATATAAAATCATTACCCTTTCTGTTTAAGAACAGGAATACTATTACCTCATAATGAATGTCATACTTCCCTTTTTTATCTATGCTTTACTGTCATTATGAGTTGAGTGACTTCCAGTGTTAACATAGAGGTAGCATTAATCCTTTGCAAATAGTGGAACCAGTATGTGATAGAAGTCACTTTGCTGTGAAAGTATGCAACTACTGTGATTTCAAGTGCCATACAAGACCCACAGTCTAAGCAAGTTAATGAGTATGGAATTCTTAGTGACTGAAATGATAAACCTACACAGGAGAAATGGGATCCACCTAAACCAAAACATTATAGTCAGAATGGTTTGGCTTAAAAGGGACCTTAAAGATCATGAAGCCATGGGCAGGGACCAGATTGTTCAAAGCTCCATCCAACTTTGTCTTGAACACCTTCAGTAATGGAACATCCACGCTGTCCCTGGGCAGCCTGTTCCAGTGTCTCACCATGTTCACAGGGAGGAACTTCTTCCTTGCATTCAATCTAAATCTACCCACTTCCAGCTTGAATCCACTACCCCTTGTTGTATCACTACAAGCCCTTGTGAAAAGTCCCACCCTAGCTTTCTTGTAGGCCCCCTCTCTGACCCTGGCAGACTGCAAGAAGGTCTCCCTGGAGCCTCCAGGCTAAGCAACCCCAACTCTCTCAGCCTGTCCTCATAGAAGAGGTGTTCCATCCCTCTGATCATCTTTGTGGCCTTCCTCCAGACCCCCTCCAACAGGTCCATGTCCTTCTTGTATCTGGGGTTCCAGAGCTCCATGTAATACTCCAGCTGGCATCTCACAAGAGCTGAGTAGAGTGGAGGAAATATGGTCAGACCGCTGGCACATAAAATTTAAAATCTTATAAGGATTTTGGTTTTATTTAAAAAGTAGACAGAAAACAAAAGATCAGTGTCAATAAATATAGAGGAGAAAAATAAGCAACAACATTAACAGAGTATCTGTAAATTAATGGTCTCCATAGCAATTATTGCCATTCTGTAAAGAGGTGGAGTTATGTCCAGCTTTCAGCTCTGTGCTCTGCATGTAAGAAGAAGACAAATCTGAGGTTAGGAATTTAGAAAAGACTGAAGGCATTATTACACTATTGTATCAGGTAATTTTGTATCCATATCTGGAAAATTGCACGTTTTTTTCTGAAAAAGGAGCTACTAAAAGGATATCTTTAAAAAGACACAGGAGATCGAGGAGGAGTAAAGAGAAAGGTTTCAAGGTTGTAGAGATCCACTTCCACACAGAAATAGCCTTGTATTGCTGGGAATGCTGAAAGTTCTCTAAGAATCTCCTCCTGAAGACACTGTGCTTGCCTGATGCAACACGTTTCAGTGTGGGTCTCAATACATCCCATCACGTAGGCTGTTTTATCCACCACCTAGCAGGACGGACTATCTTGTGCTTTGTAGTTTAAGAACATGGAGAGTTATTAAATATGAGATATTGTGAAGATGAAGCATTTAGCTAAAAAGTCCTGAAATTGTTGCTGGACAGAAGCTTGGACGAGGTATTTGCCCAATTCTCAGCCTGCTCCATAGCAGATGTGAAGCGTATTGTGACTACTGTTAGAACCAATAAACTGAATGGCCTCATTGAACATAGTTTAGATTGAGAAAGGGAAGAAAGAAAAGCCTCTAAATAGTTTTAAAGGGAATTTCATAGTCATATGACAAAAATGGGCTAGTACAGCTATCCAGTACTACAGCAGCGACCTGATTCAATAGACTTAGATTAATTTTTGCTCAGAGAAACAGAGAAGTATTTTGCTGTCACCCAGAATTTAAGAACAGTTTTTGAATTAACTTTGAGTCTTATAAGGTTCAATGATTGGATGATGAAAATTTTGAAAAACATACATTTAGTTGAGTATTTTCTGAAATAGTCCCTTTTGGTTTACCTTTCTTCATTGTAGCTGGCACCTGCATGTGTTGTAGCTCTTTAAATCACCTGCAGGCACTGAAGCTGGAGATGGGGAAGTACAGAGCTTCTCCACCTGCCTCCTCCAGCTTTTGAGTAGCTAATTCGTTTTGCGGTGCAAGATTTTTCTCCTTCCTTTTTTTTTTTTTATCCTTCTCCACCTTTTTTACTGACATGTAAAAAAATCCTCAACTTGATAGGACTTTCAAATGAATTACATGAAACATTCCTCACTGAGACATTTCAAAAGTTTAGCTTCCTTTGGTTTTGTGTTGTAGAGCAAAAAATACATCAGTCTTCTACAATTCAAATCTTTCTTGCTTTTCTAGGCAGTTTTCAAGATGTAGCTATCTTGCTTGTTGCTAATTTCTGGCTCTGCTAATTAGTTTTTGGGCTTTATTCCCTTTAATTTGTATGCATTGAATTGACTTTAATTAAACCTGTTTGACAGACAGCTTCTTTATTCTCATAATTCCTTTTTCCTTAATACTGACAAATCACAAAATGTCTGCTTTCATTTACTCTGGCATCAATGCACTGTAATTCCATCAGCATCACTGGAGTTCCTTTGAATTTACTGCAGTATAAGCAAGAACAAAATTTGATCCCAAGATTGACAATTGCAGACATTCGAAGGGTGGGAAAAAAACCACAAACCTTTTCAGAACAGTGTTCAGTCTTTACTTTCAACATATTTCATGTCACCAAGGAATGTGTCAAATGATTGTTAGTGACCGTGTGATGGGAAAAGAAATCTGAATGAATGAAAATAGCAATTGGACGTTACTAGTGAGCAAGCTTGCAAATTACCATATTCTGATGTAACGAAAGCATAGTACACATCAGATTTTTTTTTCTTTTTTTTTTTTTAAATACAGCACAAGAGATTTATTTTGTCTTTCTCTGAAATAAAAGAGTAGGAACACCTTAAGAACATTTCAGGTGGTTAGTCCTAGCCATGCTTGCCTCTGGTTAATAATCCCTATTTCATTTTCTGAAATAGGAAAGATTACATTTTACTTACCTATAAAATCTTATGTTATGATTAGTTGCTTTTGAGTTGCATGAAGGCATTTGACAATTAAAACTGTACAGTGCTTTTTATTTGCCCTGAAGGAGTGAGTTTTTGTTATCTTAAATGTAAAAGATTAAGCCAATCTAAGAAAAAGTGTGTATAATCTTTACATCTCCCCAGTTTCTACCAAAGTCTAAAATATCAGTAGTTCAGCTACAAAAAGCTAAAGTGCCATTTTTTGATGTTTAATGGACTCTCACTTCTATTTTGCAGAAAAATGGAAAGGAAGAGGAAGAGCAGGGTCACATTTTGAGTCGGCACGAAGACGGAGCAGAGCTGTCCTTTATCATATCTCTGGACATCTACAAAGAAGAGAGAAGAACAAATTAAAAATTAATAATGTAGGTGTAATTCTTCTCTTTTTCAAAAATGTACTCTTTGTACTGTTGTCTTACAAAAAAAGGGCTGTAAAATGTCAGTGAGTACCTGAGAAAAGTCTTAGTCATAATTCTGCAGTAGCAGGAGTAAAGTGCAGTTCACATAAGTGTAGTTCTGCCTACTACAGTATTTGTTACATTTCATATGCAAGACAATACATTTAGCCATACTGTAAACAGATGTTTATTTAATGCCAGGAAGGCCACATTATAAAATTTCACAGACCTCAATTTGAGGTTCCAATTTACCCTGGTATCCCAAATATTTCATTTCAATACTTGCTATTTGCCAAAAAAATAACGAAGAAAATCAAGGTACTACTCTGAGTACCTTGATAGCTGAAAATCTCTGTTGTTTAAGATCCGAAAAGTCACACTTCATTTAGGCAACATTTCCTGTGAATATCTCCAGCTTTGTGCAGAATAAATTTATCTTTTCATTTCCTAATTGAAATAGTAATATTTCTTCATTTAAACTACTTCTGTGCTTTCCTAGTAAATACAAGTAAGTTCACAAACACCCTGTGAAAGCTTCAAAAACCAAGTCAAACTGACAAATCCAAAAATATAGCAACAAAAACATTTTTGAAGAAATACGCTCAAGAGAAAGAATATTGCTTCTGCTCTGTTGAACTATGTTTCTGGAGAAAAGAATGCAGGGAAAAACTAGAGATGCATATGAAATCAGTTCGTAAATATAAAAATTTACTAGAATAATATCTGAGCCTGTTTTAACAGTGAGAGCCTATAGCTATTAGAAGCAAAAATAAACAATTTTTCTTAAAATCTCACTACAGTATTTAGTTTCTTGTTTATACATCATTATCATTAAAAAGCTAAAATCTTTAACAGAGCCACAAGAAGGAAATGTTTTGGGTTTTTTTTCATGTTCATGGTGTGAGTGGAAGACAGACAATGGAAAAAAATAGCCAAAGATCATGAACACCCTGAAAAGATGATCTGTCGCTGGGCATGTTCCTTTCTTTGGTTACCAAAATTAAACAGCAATGCAGAATCATACCCCTAGATATTGTTATGTTACAATTTAAAAACAGGAAAAATTTAGTATAGATTAAGAATAGGAAAATAGAGAGCTGGTATATGCCTCAAAGGGCATACACGCACTTCCATTGAATATAAATATTAATTTAAAAAAAAAAAAAACAAAGTTGGAAAACTGTAAAAAAAGTAATAATAATTATTTTTTTTAAAAAAAAGATCTATGAAAGACAACCAGGTCTTTTTGTGATATTTTTGTAGTATAGTAATATTTTTCTGGAACATGAATTTCAAGTAGCTTTTGGTGACTCTCGTACCTTCAAAATCCTAGTGCAGATATGCTGGTTTAAAACAGTTGTCACGCTAATTTCCTTCCTTTAGTACCCAGATTTTTCAGGGCAATGAATGGAAACTTGTAATGAGGAACGTTTTCTTCTGTGTGATTAAAAATGAGCTGACTAACAACAATGAGAGTTCAGGCCCTAAGATTCATAAATGAGAACCAAAAGTGGAGAGGGCAAGGACATCAGTATTTCAAAATAAACACACAAAGAGAAAGAATGTGACAGGCAAGGCAAATGTCTGCAGTCATGCAGTTGTTGTCTTTTTATATTCATTGTGATTAACTTCAAGATCAGAAGTAATCTTAGCTTGCTGAATACAAAATACTGTTTTGTTTCACTAATGGAACAGCATTAACCATGAGAACAATGACAGTAAGCAAGAAAATTGTTAGTAAATAATACAAGACAGTTCATGTACCACATGCTGCTTTTCAGGGGGGTAGGTAGTTTTGTTAAAACTCTGAAGAGTGAAAGCTAAGAATTTATAAAACTGATGCTTAAGGCTGAAATCTTTGTTGGAAAGCCTTTTACTGGTTGGACGACAGACTCAAGACACAACAAAACTAGGTACAGTAGGCATAATCTTAATGGTGAAGATAGTTCTGCAACCACATTATGGTGGATCTATATTAGTAGATTTTGGTTTCGATCAGGAGTGTGATTCTAAAGAGAATCAAAAGATATTCCTACAAATTGTGCTCTGATTCATAGCTATCTTGGCCAATTAACTGGATTCCATTGGATGAAACTAAACCAGGAAAGGTGCTCCAAGTGCTAACAGCTGTTCAGTCCACAAGACAAGGCTAGAGTTAGTTCAAAACAACAACTTCACAGCTCTGAAATATGTTTAGGAAGGATGTTTTGTCTTCATCACAACCTACTCCTTTTTTTCATGTATGCAAAACTTTTACCTGTCTGTCCATAAGAAAAACATTGCTCTTCAGTCAGAATTCACCCAGTGGGGGAAGAAATAATCGCTAGACTCAGTCCCCTTCTCATTCCCTTTAAACTGTTCCCTATTAATCCTCTTTCTGCCCCAACATTCACAAAAGTTATTCCATCAACAGAACTGTCTGTCTAAGTAAGTGCCAGAACTACGTTAGGAAAACTTAGCATTAGCTGTTGCCTGGGTATAAATATGTCATATTTCATTACAGTTATGAAGAAAAACCAAATGGCTTCATTGGAAGAAATATATCTGTATGGTCAAATTATTGTTTTGTCTCATTTAATTTTTTTTTTCTCTTTCAGAATGTTTTTGTAGACAAACCAGCATTTCCAGAGTACAAAGTTTCGGATGCAAAAAAATCCAAGTTCATACTGTTGCATTTTAGCACTTTTAAAGCTGGCTGGGACTGGCTTATTTTATTGGCAACGTTTTATGTTGCTGTGACTGTACCTTACAATGTTTGCTTTATTGGCCATGATGAGCTGTCTACAACTCGAAGCACAACTGTCAGCGACATTGCAGTGGAAATACTTTTTATCATCGGTAAGATATGTTTGGGATTTGTTTGGAGTGTCTTTTTTGACATTTAAAGTTTTCATAGAATATATAATATGGAAAAATAAATCATTATTCCTTTCATGATTTTTAAAAAAAATCAATTTTATCTGTATAGCTTGAGATTTTATCTGAACTTTAGATCACTGTGTTTTTTTCTTTTTTTTTTTTTTTTTACTTTGAATTGTTTCACATATTCCGGCTGTTACTCAGAAGACACCTTTGACCTCAAAGAAGGCTGAAAATCAACGTTTCACCCTGTAGATGCTTAAAGTCTTCCTAAGATAGGGGTGTGCCCTGGAATCACTACAGTGTTGTTCATAATATACCTTTTTTCTATTACCATGAGTTGAAAATCACTAGATTATAAAAGCTAATGACATAAGAGTAAACCTTAAACTGCAATAATGCAAGTGTACAATATCAATATGACATATTGGAAACTGAGAATTTAAGAGGTTGCAGCTTGTCATCTGGTCCATTATCCAAACTTTTTATTTCAATGAGCCATTTCATTCTTATATGTTTAAAGAATTAAAATGCAGGCAAAGTCATATCTAATAGTGGCCTTGTAGCAAAGCAATTTCTTTTATTTATTATCTTTTTGCAATTTCTTTGTGAATATAGGAAAGAATCCTGGATTAGGGTCACACAAATTTTTTTTCCCCAAGATTTTATTGTTATATTACCACTCAGTGCTGTCACACTGACGAATCAGAGATCAGATCTGTTGATAATATGAAGGTGGAAAAGTTATTATTTTAAAGAAATAAGTAAAATTCAGTATGTCTTCCTTGAATATGGGTAGTTCTAAGAGAAAAAAAATTAACAAAGGAATAAAATAATCAGATTTTAAACTTCTTTTCTACTGTACTTTACAGTATTTTTTTCCTGAAAAAAATGTGGCTTCACTCATACATTAAAATTAATGTTATGATCTTCTCTAGGAGAACTAAAAAGTACTGAATCTTCTTAAACACTAAGCAACAACTCAGAATGTCTTTACTTAAACATAATTTTCTTCTTGTGAGAATTACGAAAACTTCCTTTCATTTCTCTGGCAGCTTTACCGTAGACAGTAAGAATAGTAGATGATGTGGCTAATGGAAGAATCAGATGTTATGATGGCTAAATATCTGTTTCCTCCTTTGGACATTGTTTTGTCATTAGGTTTAATTTTCCCCTTTTATGCTCACAGTTAGATCTTAGTGTACTCTTCCATGTTAATGCAAGCGATTCACATTCAATGATACTCAAGCACTGCGGTAAGAAACCTACATTCTGCATTGCAGATCATCAAGGATCATCTTTTGTGTAAAGAGTGAGTTTATGACTCTAGTCAGTCACAAATGACTCCATGTTGCATTTTAAAGAATAAAAAATTAAATAATTCCACTTGATCTACCTGGGCATCTTTATAAAACCAGTAGACTCAAGGTCATGATATTTTTGATTGCATCCTTCACCCCACACTGCTCTAGATAACTTGTTTGTGTTATGAATACATTTATTAGAATCAGAGCACAGGAGAGTATAATCTGTATCTAGCTGATTTATGTGCTGCAGTATTCATTGGAAGCAGGAGACATGGTGTGCTGCTCAGTGTTACTTTTCTGTATGTGTACTCTACTGGAAATACGAACTTCTTATGTCAGTAAGTAAAAAGTCATGGGTTCACTATGATCAGTAGAATAGCTGGGTGAGAAAAATGAAAGGAAGAAGATTGTCTGTAAATTTACATTACATTTTCTGGTTAGATTTTTAGGTCTGTCATCCAGGAAATAAAGCTGTGATTGTAACGAAATACATTCAAAGTGTATAAAGAACTAGAAAAGACTTCTTTGTTTAGTTGTGTTATTTATAATCTGAAATATTATACTGTAGAATACCAATATTCTTCCTCCTCAGTGTAAATAATGTCTCCTTTTTCCCCAAAATACTTGTTTCTAAAGTTACTATCTATCTGTTTTTAAATTTGTGACTGGGGAAAGTTTTATGGAGTACTTCCAGGACGTTCTCATACCGCATTTAAATCTCTGCAGCAAACTTAAAGAAAATAGTGTGTAATTACCTTCCAGCGGTCCCTTGTCCGTTACAGTGTTGAATGAATATGTCTCAGAACATGTGTAACTATATTGAAAGTAGCAAGATTGACAGCATAGATAAATTCGAACATAAGTTTCAGGGCATTGTTGCACTGTGGCTCTGACAAGCACATCTTTGATGACTGTTCTGTGTGCTCTGAGAAAAGTCAAAGAAAAGCATTGGGTAAAGTTTTGGGTTTTTTTGATGCTGCTGCCTCAAAGTCAGTGGGGAGATCTATCTGAAATGAGGTTTTCAGCTGTATTACAGCTCTAATCATGGATTGAGGTATCACAACTTTGTAAAATCATGGATTGGAGAACCAATATGCTAGAAATAGAAATCTATGTGCTTTGTTTTTATTTGTATTTCTCAGAACATAGAATAATACTGCTTATACACATAATTTGAATAAACTCTTACTTGGACTTGACAAGGTCTTTGGTTTTAGCTGTGTTATCAGATGGAGCAAAGACATGAAAACAAAACAGATAAATCATGTCTACATATTGGTTCAAGGGACATAGTATGGTAGAGGCTACAGGTTTCATTTAAGCAGAACAGTTTGAATAAGTCTAGTGGCTAAGGGGAAACTTGTAGCCTTATCCAATTTGTGAGTCAGCATATGCTTAAGCATGATACAAATACATACAGAAGTGTTGTCCTGACTTGGGGTGTTAATAAGTAAACAAGTTGATTGGAATTAAAATATTCATGAGAAAAGACAAAAGGATCTCTCTCCACGTTTATTCCATTTTATTAGTTTATTATTCTTCTGACTGCATAACTTTTACTCTTCTGTAGCTATCCAGTGTAGTGCTTTTTTTATGTAACTGTTTCATTCTAGTTCTCAGATGTTGTCTTTTTTTAAAAAATATTTCAAAAATTATTGAACATAATTCAAGGAAGTAACATTACTGGAAAAATTATCAATACTTTATTGCTAAATAGTCAGACTTAATCACAGGGCTATGAATAGGATGTCTTCAACAGGAGTTGAGATCAATACAGTAGTTCAGAAAAAAAACTATGTATAGGCTTTCAGGGTAATGGTAATTATTTGATGGATAAGGCCAAAGGTGTCTTAGTATTTTATCTCCTAAGGTAGGCAGGAACAACTACAGGGAGAAGAGCTATAAAAATAAGTGACCTTTAACTTTTAATTTCAGTTTTCTATTTGTGGATCATCCAGTTTCTAGTGGAAGGTGGAGAGCCCTGGACACTAATTATAGCTATAAAATTGTACTCTTTATAAACATACATGCAATAGTAATTTTAAATGATTTTCTACAAGACACTCCTTTGCCTACCTGTGGGGAAAAAAAACATGCCTATCCCTTCTCCCACTCTCCCCAAGCACAAGCTCATCTGAAAACTTATCTATAGCTTGCAGTTTCAAGAAGGAACATTAATCATGGTTATTAAGACCACTTCTCTTTGTATGTGCACCTCTCTCTAGTTAAATATTATTTAACTAAATGTTTTATCAACAATTTCATTTTTTAAAAGCAGCATGTTCAGAAGCCTTAAAGCTGTGATTTGTGCTGCATGATACTGTAGATTAGAGACTTGTTGGCCCTTTAGTGTCTATCACAAATGTAAATGACTCAATCTTTCCAAAACTGTTTTAAATCATATTAAGCCCTTGAGTGTCAGATGTTTAATATTTAGAGATTAAGAAATATAGTACAAACCCAGCAGAAATTCATATCATCCATGATTTACATAGTCATTCAAGTGTGCATATTACTGTATTGAAAATAATAAATAACACAAAATTTGTCGAATCAGATGAGATAGTATTAAATTGGGGGAGGTGTATATATTAGGAAAAACTTCTTCACTGAAAGGGTTGTCAAGCACTGGAACAGGCTGCCAGGAAAGCAGTTGGATCACCACCCCTGCATGTGTCTGTCACATAGATACAGTTTAGCAGTGGACTTAAAAGAATGGTTGGACTTTATTTTGGTTGGAAAAGACTTTTAAAATCATAATTTATGATTCTATAAAATGCTATAGATTTTATTAGGTTGCTTTAAATTACTTTTTCTTTTCCCTTGTATTCTTTTTCATTATTTTAAGAATTATGATTTCATATTTTGAAAGTGTGAAAAAGGTCCTATAAACCAGTCTGTGTCTACAGGACCTCGCATCTAGGAGGATTTACAAATTTTGAAAGAAAATGACAGTGTTTTGAACTGTTTTTTAAAAAGTGTACCTTCAGACCCTAATGTGCTAAAACTGAGACACCAAGGTATGGTTTGAATTTATCTCTGGAGACCATTAAATGGTGTCATCTGTGAATACATATGAACAAAACATGAAACCAGATGGAGCGACATTGTTGACACACACTGAGATGCAAAAAGAGAGTGGAAGCAAGGACAGGTAGTCTGGAAGGAAACAGAAGTTGTCTGAGCAGCCAGGGATCAGGTTAAGAAAGCTAAAGCCCAGACAGAATTAAATCTGGCCGGGGACATTCAAGGATAACGAGAAAAACTTCTGCAGGTATGTCAGTGACAAAAGGAAGGCTATGGAAGATGTGAGTCCTCTCCAGAAGGAAAGAGGAGAACTGCTTATGAGGGATCTGGAAAAGGCTGAGATTACTTCTTTGCCTCAGTCTTCACTGGCAAGGGCTCTAGCCATACTGCCCACATTGCAGAAGGCAAAGGCAGGGGCTGGGAGAAGGAAGATCTCACTCTGAGTGAAAATCAGGTTTCAGACCATCTAAAGAACCTGAAGGTTTACAAGGCCATGGGACCCAAAGAGATCCATCCACAGGTCCAGAGAGTACTGGAAGATTAAGTTGCTAAGCCACTTTCTATTGCATCTGAAAAGTCATGGCAGTCTGATGAAGTTCCCACTGATGGGAAAATAGGAGACAAGACGTGGACAACTACAGGTCA